TCTCTCTCTCTCTCTCTCTCTCTCTCTCTCTCTCTCTCTCTCTCTCTCTCTCTCTCTCGGAAACTTGTCGTTGTTTTCTGACAGACTTGAGAGTGTAGCTGGTAGTTTTGCTGTATGTGTTGTTGTTGTGTGTGTGTAGATTCTGACAGTGACCCACTACACAGGGTCAGTAGAGAATGCAGTCGTGGTGGGAGCGTGTGTGCTGTGTGTATCTCTCTCGGTGTTGGTTTATAACTGTAGTTAGTTTGGTATTTAGAACTGAAGATTTTGTGACAAAATGAGCTATTTCCAAATTTTCAAACTTCCACATTTTTTTCCTCTTTAGATTGCTAGAGCGATATCATTAATCTGTCGGGAGATTATTAATCTTTACTGCTTTAGAGTATTTTCCATAAATGAATAACGGATGAATTCGTGCCCCTGCTATTTCCATCTATTCATCTTTTCATTCAACAGCCGACTGATTGTAAATCAAATATAATCACACTTTGCTACGCTTTTCGCCGTTTCTTTTTTTTTTTCGAGGTGTCGGGTTTTGTCACAAAGACCTTCAGGCGTAGTGCAGTGGTTGCTAGGAGACCTGTCGGCTTTTCTTGAGCATCCGTTGGTTACATAGTAAAACAACGTAGTGAAACTACTAAACTAATTAGGTCTTAGAAATATGTATATATATGTATGTATATATATATATATATATATATGTATCTCTATATATTGTCCTCAAATGTTTTTACTGTAGACATTGCTTCATTTTCCTGTACTGTCTCTGTGTATCGTTGGTAAGCTGTTCAGATGCACTAAGTTATGCCCAGAAAGCAAAATTATGCTGGAGGCATTTAGAAAACTGGTTAATTCTTTTAATAATTCTACCAACAGTATATTGTTGTTGTTTTGTTTTCTTGTTGTCTTCAACATTTAGAATTTGATTTGTGACTGTATTTTGCTTGAGCATATGCCACTGATGCCCCAGATGAATAAAGTGCAATAAGAACTTTTCAGTACTTAGGGCCTAGTACTTGTGAACAGCTGGCCAATCGTATATAGAGTCACTATTTTACTAGTGCGTAAGTGCGTTCATACGTTTTACACATTAGTGTATCATATTATGTAAATTTATACTTGACGCTCATTATCATTTCTCTGTGCCTGTGATATCCTTCACATTTATTTTTCTCGCAGTAGGCTTTCAGTAATATGGGAAGAACTAAAATATGTGGGAACACGTACAGAATGTTTCTGCTGTTCACATCTTTTTGTTACTTGTAAGGTATTGAAACTTCTCTTTAGTGGAAAATGAAATTGGTTCCGTGTGAGTAATGTTCAGGGAGAGGTGACAAAACTAGGAATGCAGACACATGTGCACACTGTTACACACAAATTTACAAAGGCACTTATACACACACTAACACACACACACACGCACCCTCACAAACACACACACACACACACACACCTTCACATACACACACACGCACCCTCACAAACACACACACACACACACACACACCCTCACAAACACACACACACACACCCTCACAAACACACACACACACCCTCACAAACACACACCTCAATGCACACAAGCATTTTAAGACACACTATCATGTATTCAGACTTAGGGAGTGGCACAAAAGGACGGATTATATTTGCTCAAATTCACATGTACACATATACTATAATGTTCGCACTCACAAAAATACACACGCTCATTCACACGTGGTACACTCTGCACACAAATGAACACACTCGCTGTATATATATTTATTTTTCAGTACTGTTGTACTTTTGACTGAATTCTTGAGTAAAAATAAAATAGGGCAAGGCGTGAGAACTGATTTTCAAATTTTCTGAGCAGAAAAAGGTTCGAACTCAAACAGCTATCGTACATCACATCTCCGGTGATATATCATACCCTTCCTCTACTCCCACTAGCCTCCTAATGTGTTGTCCTTTTATTTTTTTCAACTGTTACACACACGTGTTGTCAATATTTTCTAGTTGTCGTTCTCGTAAACTTTGAACAAAGCCAAAAATTATTCCCAGTGTTAACATTCTTTTAGAGGTAAGTATAAGTATATGCCAAGTTCTGTGGAGTTTTGCTTTTAGTGTCACCAGAGAGTTTACAGATGTCACTGTACCGTTTAGATAAGGGGGAGACACGCACAAATCTTTGGACACACATAGACCATCATGATAGTGCTGATTATCTAACCGTGAGAAAGATTGGTTAAAAAGGAAAGGAAACTATGATGGCAGGTGAAGATTGGTTAAAAAGGAAAGGAAACTATGATGGCAGGTGAAGATTGGTTAAAAAGGAAAGGAAACTATGATGGCAGGTGAAGAGCTGCAGCTTCTTGATATTGAAACAAACTGAAATGGTAATTTCTGAGGATAACTTTTTATAGAACCGAGTAGACAACCATGATCGCCGATACTATGTTCCAGGCCTGGTACTAGATCTAGAGGGAGAGAGAACTCTAGAATGATCTTGTACTATAATCTTCATAGAATGATAGCAGGAGGCAAGAGGCAAGCCCAGGAAAGTGAAATTTGGAAGGTGTTTGTTTGTGGTCTCTACGGTGATCCAGGGTTAGAAAGGAATTGATGATGATGATGATGATGATGAAGATAATCTTCTGTTATTGATATTCAATTGGAGTTGTGTTGCCCGTAGGTGTTTGGTAGACTTATCCCGGTAATGGTGCTTATGGTATGGTTCATAGAATGTTTTTAAAATTCTTATTTCTTTTTAACTAAAATGCATTTTATACTTTAACTTTAAGTAAGTGTAAAAACGATGGCCTCGACGCAATAATTAATTTCTTGTGGGTGGTTGGAGGGTGCCACTAAGTTTGACATGACAACTACAAGGCAGCCCACTAGAAAAAGTAACAATTAATTACTGCCCTGGATCTGTTCTTAAGGCAAGTGACGTACTACAAATATATTGATGACATCATTTATAATAATTATGATTGCATGATTGTCGTAATCTTTTGCTGGTTTTCATTTTTTCTCCGCCCCGCACTTTGTGGAAAAATATCTGTACGATATACATACATTCTAAACGTCTATATAGAGTACATGTTTCAATGTATTGATTACTGCAGAAAGCGAAAATATTCGTACGATTACTGTAATTGTTTCATTTACAACTTCGAAAGAATATGCTCAGCTTTGTAAGGGATTAATGTTCGTTCAGCTTTGAATAACGTTATGATGGCTGAACTTCAGGTTTGTAGTAACTTTCTTGAATCTTAAAATATTCCTTGTAGTTGTACATGTTTTAGAAAGGTGCATATTAGTAGTACATGTACTGTTTTTTTCCAGTTTATGTTTACTTTAGACTGAGTATTGTTTTTTTATGATAGCAAATGAGTCCATTTTTTTTCATGTAGATTTTAAAAAACTTTCTAGACAGCATGATGATATTGTGCGAAGCGAACGCTTTACTATTGTTTTTGGCTTTTGAGCTGTTTTTTTAATCAAACCTATTTTGGTTAAGATTTACCGATTGATTTATTGAAACCTATTATTATCGTCTAGTACTCGATGACCTTGGTGGATACTTTAATGTCCTTAGTTTTTTCGATTGATTTATTGAAACCTATTATTATCGTCTAGTACTCGATGACCTTGATGGATTCTTTAATGTCCTTAGTTTTTTCGAAAGTTTGAGTAGTTGTTCATTCTGTGGCCTTCATCTTCGTTTTTCTGTCCCTCAGATGACTTAGAACTATTGAGGCCGCACCAGAAAGACGCACCGCCTTCCCCCAGCCTGAAGAAATCACGCACCCTCGGAGGAAGCCTTAAGAAATTGTTTCGTCGTAGCCGCAAGCGCTCAAACACCAGGGGCAACGACTCTCGGGAGAGCTCCATGTCGCGAGGCTCGCGCTCCAAGGGCCCGTCCCGAGACAACTCGCTGACGAGACAGAGTCAGCGGGAGCACGAGCAGAGGGCGCAGTCCGTCTCCTGAGGTCAAGGTCGCAGGTCGCGGGTCGCGGCGGGCTGACTCACAGGGAACCAGGGGGTTTATCAACCACAAACAAACATTGGTAGTCATGTAGAGATACACACGTCAGGAATGCCAAACTGGACAACTAACTTATGAAAGAATGTATGCTGGCAAGGCAAAAAACAGAGGTAACACACGCAGGTTTGAGACGACTTATTGTCTTAGTCAGAACGAAGAGTCTACATAATGAAAGGGTCCACTCTTCTCTTCGAGCCAATTAAAAAAGTGTCCTCTAAATTAGGTGGCGCCCTCTTCACAAATGCGCACCTTTTGCGAACAGAGTTACCCTACTTGTGTTTTAAAAAAACCCTAAGTGAAACTAACAAGTTTTTGAATAAATAAGAATTCAAACTTCGGAAGAACGCTTTTTTTACAAAATGGTTACGCTGACAAAAAAAACTCTTCTTGAAGAGATTACCGCTTTCTTCGTTTAATTTGACTTTAAAATGAAAGGCGAGAGTTCATTACAATAAAAAAAACAACTAAAACTCCGCACTGAACGAACCCGAACAGCTGATTAACAGAGGTCGATCTCCGCACGCAAGGAGGTGCTATTCCTATTCTTCTTCTGGAGAAACGAAAGAGAGCTTCAAAATAGACTGCAGCGCCATCTGAAGCAGAGAGCGGACTTCCGGCGGACACTTTTTTGGCTGAGTGGACCATCTTATTATGTACTATCTTTGGTCAAAATCAGAATAGGAATCATTCGGTACATGATGTGTTTTTATCATTTTTCTATACAGCCACAAAAAAAATGTCCACTGGGGCAGCAAAGTTTTTATCTCGTCTTTAAATAACACTAGTCTGTCACAGGTCAATAGAGAAATGAGCGAAAATCTGTTACAAGTCAATAGAGAAATAAGCGAAATGCTCAGAATTTTTTTCACTTTTCTTTCAAGCAAAATTGGACAACTTTTGTGTAGGCAGTGGCTTGACCGCAATTTTTTCCCTTGCCAGCTCTGTTGTCATCATTTGTGATCACAATTTCGACTTCATTGCCATCGTACATGTGTCCATTGTTTGTTATTTCTTTGATGCTCTGTTTGCATTTTTATTTATTCATTTATTTATTCATTTATTTATTCATCACCCGAGTGTGTATTAAGTTACCAAAAAAAAGTCATTGTGCCGATTCCACAGTAATGCTCAGTTTATTTGGAGGAATCTGACTTTGACGTTTCATTCTTTCTGTCTCTATGGATTCATCACTTCTGTGGGTCGTCTGTAGTTGGTTCATGTCTTGTTTTTTGTTAACTTTTCATGTGGAAGAGGGTGTGACAGGTTCAGTTTTAGAAATTATTTTCTGCAGTTTTTGGAAGTGTCTTTGTACCACAATTCTTTGTACCACAATTCTTTGTACCACAGTGTTTTCTCTCGTCTCTATTTCTGTACCAAATGTTTCCTTCTTGTATCTGTCGCTGCTATCTGTCTTGCACGAGGTATAAATAACTTGTTCAGAGGAAAAAGAAATGAGATGATGGTGGCGTGGAGTGAATGTTTGTTGTGTTGTTTGTCGCGTACAGTCCGTACTTAACCTCTCCTCGAGGGAGTTATTCGCCTGGATCTGTATAAAACGCTCCCATCGGAGCTGTCTGTCTATTCTTCCTGTCAACATATCATAATCCACACAGCTCTCCCAAAGAGATAGAGGCAGAAGTTCTCAGACGAAGCAATAAGCACCACAGAATGGTTGAGTTGATTATTTACATATAATTTACGTCCCTGTATTTATATCTGACATTTCGTTATCGTAGCTTTTTTTTTTAGAACTTTATACTTTTTCATAAAGTCTTCAAGAGATTTTCTTTCAGTTCATGACACAAAGTGCACCAGTTTGACTTCTGAATGAGATCAACTTCACAATTGTATAGAAAGTTTAGGGTTTATCATATTATTTTTGACACCCATTATATTACAAGGGACTCCTTTGCTTGAAGGCCTATAATAACTTCATGAGAGATTTGTGACAGCTGTAGTTGTAGTCATTCTTTCCCATTGTGATTTGTTTCACTTCATGTTGTCCCAAGATTCTTTTTTTTATTTGTTCTTCAGTCCGTCTGAGACGTCTGCGTTCTTTCCCGTTGTACAGAGTGTTGTCCTCGGTAGTGAGCGCCTGTTTTTTATTGTTATGTTTTGTCTTGAGCTCAAGGCTGTGACCCGTTAAGTTATTGAAAACCCGCTATCTACTTAAACCTGCATCAAAATTATTTTATTTTCTTAAACTTGAAGTGTTGATGAGAACAGGACTTGATTTACTATGAATGTGACTGTTTGAATTTGAAATCTTAGATGAGAAAATTGTAATCTATAAATTTTCCTGCTTCTGTCTATAAAAAAGAAATCAGGAGATGAATATAAATTTAAAAAAAAATAATGCTGAGAAAAGAAATGGATTGTGTATTTATAGATGGTGATTATGCAAGAGAATCAATAAGAAATAATTCATGCAAAGAGAGATTAGAGATGAAATATATATTAATATGTGACAATAGAGATGAAATATATTTATTTGTGACAAGTAATATCAAAGTTCAAGGTCACTGACTAGCTCAATGATTTTGCTGTTGGTGTCAGTCACTTTTATTCGGAGCTGTATTATTACTGCTGATACAGCTGTTTAGTATACATAGCTCTGTCCACGTCTTTCTCTGTTGTATTAATCAATGGCTGTGTTGAGAACTGTATACACCGAGTATTGCTGCGCTGTTTCGGTTCTGTTATTGCGTCATCTCTTTTAAGTTCTTTTCAAGCGTTTTATTTCAACTTTTGCGTCGTCGGCTTGTTTAACACGTCCTTTTCTCATACGTTTCAACCCCCAAAACTGGAATCGCATGCTGGACCCCTCGCTCCCCGCAACCCCACTAACCCCCCTACCCCTCCTATGCCAAGGTGAAGAATGTTTTCCACTTTCGTGCTGTCGTGTCGGTAGCCTTCACCTTGCCATCCCAGAAGTGTTCATCCTCCCGTCTGTCTTTGAGAGTGAAATCCGGATCAGTTGTACGTGGAACAAAATATGGTTCATAAAGCGTGCCATTCTTCCTTAACGCAAGATCGAATGATTTGGCCTAAACTTATACTTATTTCAATATATATGGCAAAACTGTGTTAAGAAAATTAATATAACAAAGCGAAAGGGCCATATATATGCACATTTGAATATCAATATCAGAATTTTAAAAAATTAAATCTATAAATTTTTTTGTAATTTTGTGATCAATATCGGAATTTAAAAAAACAATTAAATCAAAAATTTTTTTTTGTAATTTTGTGCTTAGAGAGTTTGAAAACTAATTTTAGCTCCACGGCATCTCTGATTCTGGGACTCTGGATAACGGCGGAGTAGTACCGTAGCGACGTCCCCTCTGCCCGGCGGTTTTCGCACGCTGGGAGGATACGACCTGAGACGATGATCAGCTTGTGGTCGTCCTCCCAGACACGCTGTGGCATTTTTTGACGGGGACGTCATCTCTTTTGAGGGTAGTGAAACTTTCCCCCCCCCACCTCCCATTCCCCCTTCGTGCACTTTTTCCTTTAGTTTTCTTCGTCACCGTCTCAATAATATATTATAAATATTTTTAATATATATATATTGTAACCCATCTCTCCTATTTACCATTTTCACCTTTGTGGCCTGCTGTCGCTGGACTGTCGTTGTCGTTGATGATCACGTACGGTCAAAGTTTTCTTTGGTCTGAGAGGTTTCTTCATTTCTGTTCCCAATTTTGGCAGTGACGAGAATGGAGGAACCTCTGTTGTGTGCTTGCTGTGTGTTTCCAAGGGGTGTTGTTCTGTCTTCTGTTTCCTCTCCTTCTTCCCTGTCTATCCCTCCTTCTCTCACTCACTCTCTCTTTAGTCTCTTTCTCTCTGTTTCTTTCATTCACTCTGCCTTCACAGACGTATCTGCTTTATATGAAATGCTCACACTCGAGAATGTTCAATATTTCTATTTGTTACCACGCCACTCAAACTTTTTAATCAAGCTCAGGTGTCGCCTGTACACAGCAAAGTTGTTGTCTAAGAAACTGAAAGCCTGCCGCCCCCCCCCCCCCCCCAAAAAAAAACCTGACAAAAAAAACCCCCTCCTTTCTCCCCTGCTCTTTGAGGACGGAGAAACAAGTCATCATGCTCAGAAATAATAAATCCGTTATGCCTTCTTTCTATCAACCAGTAACTATTTAAGTAAGCTATGCTCTTACTCTTAGATTTTAAAATCTTTTCTTTGTTCTATAAACCAATATCTGTGCTCAAACATCTTTTATTTCCTGTCTCTACGTGTGAGCTGATAGCTCCACTCTGGGATCGTCTATTTTCTCTGTTCTGTTGTCACTTTCTATCATCACTCAGTGCCTCGACAATTTCCTGTGATTTTTCCTAGATTTCTTTTCTCTCTCTTTTTCGTGCTCTTCTGTATTTAGAACTAAACTATGTTCTATGTTCTCGCATAATTTTAACGGCAATGCCAGTTATTTTGTCGACAAAAACTGAATAAGCGTTGCTGCTATTCTCACGATAAATCAGAGTAATCGATGGATAGTGTTAATAACTTGGTCAAATCAAACAGTAGATCAAAAAAACGTCTGAAGCAGACAGAGCTGGGCTTTGCTGTGATTTTGTGATTTTTCTGTGTATTACGAGCTGTCCGACATTTTCTTTGAGTAGGACTACTACTAGTCTGTATTCCGTCTCTTGACATGGCCTGAAATTTTAGTCAAGATATGTCGTTGAACGAAACTGGTTACTAATGAGTCAAAAGTCTTTGGTGGTGTAATTTTCACTGGGCTGTCAGCAGCTGCTTGATATCTGAGCGGCTCCTAGATGTGATAAATGCAATCTTTGTTTTGTTTTTTTTTGTTGTCAAATCTGTATTTATAAACTTGTGTTTGTCGTTTTATTTGTTGTTTTTTTTTGGTTTAATGTTGTTTTGTTTTTTTTCTTTATGCTTTATGTTGCTATTGTACTGCCATAGACTGAAAGGCTAGTGAGACAACTCTTGCTGTAAGGATATATTTATTTATAACAATATTATATATATATATATACCATTAATTTAGCAAGAGTTTTTTCCCTTGTTTCGGTAGCTAATGTTATTTGTTGTTTTCTCAATAGCAATGCTTTCGCCTAACGCAGAATACTCTAGTGAGGATGAAAAACTGGGAAATACTTTCACTTTCATTCAAATTTTTTGTTGTGTTATTTTTAAAGATATTTTTAACATTTTATAATGTTGAGAAACCTATGCAAGGTGAGTTTAAAGAGGGGAAGAAACTCTATCGATATGTTCGTCTCTTATTTTGTTTCA